TTTTCCGATATTTTATTAGTTATTCTGCTATTCCGGAAAATTCTACCCCTATTTCATATACTTGTGGTAAAAATTCGGCCCAGCCGTTCTTGAGTTATAAGTGTTCTAACTAACCCGACTTTGTTTTATATATTAAGATAACGATATACATTTCTTTGAATCTGGTATATACATCCTACATATAGTGCACCATCACTAATATTATCTTTTATATCGCAGCATTTTTACTGGCAGATCAAGGATATGATGTATGGATTGGAAATGTGAGAGGAAATAGTTACTGCAGATCACATGTGAATATGACGATAAACGATCCCAAATTCTGGCAGTATAGGTAAAACATTAGCGTTCAAAATTATTTTAAGAAAACATCAGATCACAAGTTTATAAATCGATTTTAAACCGAAAGTATAATACGTTCTGCCTAAAAACGAGATATTATTTGAAGCAAAATGATAATGTAATCAAATCGTTACTTGTACTAAATAGAGTATAGTTACCAAACCAAGTGATATGAATATAAAGTTAAACATTTCTAAAAGAGTATGCAGTGAAGACATAAAGCATATGTATGAAAATGAGGAAAAAAGGATATAATACTTATAACACGTTTTGTAAACATTAAAATTTGCATCGTATTCTCTTCAGTAGCCAGATTGTAAATCTTTCATTTTTAAATCTTTTTCTCACTGTAAATTGATTGCGTACATTTGTCAAACAGAGGGGAGAGCGAGAAAATATATGTTTTATATCATAATTCTTATTTTTCAGCTTTCACGAAATTGGAATAAAAGATTTGCCGGCCATGTTCGATTACATTCTCAATTATACAAAGCGAAAAGATTTATATTATATCGGTCATTCAATGGGAGGTACTACGCTACTCACTCTTCTGTCATCAAAACCGGAGTACAATACGAAAATAAAAATGGCTATTGGTCTGGCTCCAGCTTCTTTTTGGATAAAAGTAACACCTATAACTAACGAAATTGTTAACACTTTTCCAACACTGAAGGTAGCTGCCAAAATCTGTAACTTCTTATTACAAGCAATAGTGTTTAAAATACAAGAATTATAATTTTTATTATTTAATGTGCTAAAAATATTCTTAGCTATTATGAGGTAATACTTGAATTGTTTGTTTTACATGTTCCAGGAAGTTCTACGAAAGCGTGAAATATATGATTTTCTTCCACAATCTTTAGCGACTGTTACGGTAGGAAAAATGTTATGTAAAGAAAATACGATGACTCAAATTATTTGCGTCACTATATTATTCTTAGTCGCCGGTCCTGATCCAGCACAACTTAACACTGTGAGTTTTAACGTACATAACATACAAAACACAAACGTAATACAATGTTTATATATAATGTGCGTAAATATTTTTTATTATATTATATGATTTTTCTAATTTTTTATAATTATATAAATTTTCTGTGACAGCTCTAAACCACTGCCTACCCTCCTCTATTAATTAATCGCTTTATAACGTCATCTATATAAATTATTTCTGTTATAGACAATCCTGCCAGATATATTCTCCTATCTTCCAGCCGGCACTTCTGTACAAACATTAGAGCATTTTTACCAAAATATACGTATGAGTGAGTATTCTACTTTTATAAAACAATATTCCGGTTGATGTAATGTTACAATAAAACATTTTCTTGTCGTTTAAGATAAGATATAATTGAAAGATCTAAATTAATTTATCATTTTCTACAGATTAATTTATAACTGTATGCACATTTAATTATTTTTTTCCAAATATACTTTTAAGTTTTGGACACGTATTTATAGATATAGAGGAGACCGGGGTGAAGTCGGCCCCAGGGTGAAGTTGTTTTTGCAATTATCTCGAAATCTGTATGTTAATTGTGTGAACTCGCCATTAATACTGTAAGTGCGGCTTATGGTGCCCACGTGACCAATGGAGTTTAGTGAGGTTACCGGTTACGTGCCATGTTGTAATACTTATCGAAGGAAACGTGTTTTCGCAGGTCGAAAGTAAAATTTCTTCCGCATCGAAAGTTTGTAATATGAAAAAGAAAATTGATTTTCTTGAAATTATTTTCCGCTTTCCATTTTTCTACTAAAAAACAATGAATAAAGTGTATTCTATTATTTTTTATTATCAAAATTATGCCGTATCTTTATTTAAAATCCAGTCCGAGAATGAAGACACGACTCCACCCCGGGAATTTTGACTTTTCGATTTTTGCACCTTTGTCGTTTTTACTCTATACCGGTTGAACAAAGCGACGTAGACCAAAAATGCCTATATAAATTTTGTAGTCAAGGGTTTACTCTTTACAATGGTATACTATATTTCACTAAAATGATTTATTTTGTTGTTAAAAATCGGCACAAAAAGGGCCAACTTCGCCCCGGTCTCCCCTACGATTAATATCGATTGTTGCAGAGGACTTTCGAAACTATGATTATGGAATAGCTGAAAACTATAAGCGATACAAACAAAAAACAGCCCCAAGTTATGATCTGAAAAAGATTACTGCTCCAATAATTTTATTTTACTCAGCAAATGATATGATTGTTACAAAAGAGGTAACAGTTCTCCGATAAGTTTTTCACTGTCTAACTTTTATTCACTTTTATATCACAAATAAAAACAAAAGAAATATATACACAAACATAATGAAATGGTGATTATGTAATATGTTAACAATATGAAAGAATCTGTTTGAATGTAATGCAAAGTGTAATGCAAAAAGGAAAAACAGTTGATTTATATCAATCGGATCTATTTTCTACTCTTTACACATTTAAATCATGTCGTTATTGATGACGTTCTTTTCATTATGTTTTTGATTTTCAGAATGTGTTGGAACTTGGCAAACGCTTACCAAATGTTCTTTTAACTGAGGAAGTCCCATACAAACTTTTCAATCACTTAGATTTCACGTGGGCAATCAACGCGAAAACTCTTTTATACCATCGTGTGTTAGAACTAATACAAAAGTTTGATGCTGACCAAAATAAGCCTATAAATCTAATCGATGAATGTAAATTAAATGGAGAGAAACCCTAATCTCTCTATATAATTTGAAATGTTAGTAAACGTAGAATTGCTAAACAATCAGCAATTAAATTATATGCATCCGTGCGTGTGTGTATTTCTTTAAATTCACATAAAATTTGTCAATATAAAATTATCAATTATTATATGTTAGGCTATGTTGTGATAAGATTAAAATGAAAACACTATTAGACATACTCAATATTGAGTTACTATTAATCGTAAATGATTAAGCGATATATATATTGTACATATTAAAGGTATACCTTGCGTATCCCATTTTTTAATCAGAATATATCTAACCTAATCTTGTGTGAAATAACAAATCAGTGCTACTTTTGACATTATTGAAATCGACTTCAATAATAATGTAAAATGGAAGATCTCAAATTTTTTGAGATTATTCAAAGCAGTAAAGAAAACATTCATGCAAATAATGGATCGGTGTAGCCCCGATTTGATTCCGACAGCTTTATATATATTAAATGCATTATTACAAATACTTATTTTTACTTGGTTGTTACAAATATACGTTTACATTAGACAATGGATACTATAAACCGCAAGAAAAAAAAAAGAAAAGTTCTTTTTTATTGTAGCAATCATAATTAATCTTATGAATGTGTGCGTGTGTGTTCGTGTATCTGCGCATGCATGTGTGATTAAATTACAAACGAAATATAGAAGTAGGTACTTTTGTAAAGAGAAGGTATATTTTTATTACACAAGACAAGATATCTGAAAGGTTACTCGTATCAGCATTGCAAAATTGTTTATTTCAATAAATGCAAAATATTATTTTCAAGCTTCTTCGTCCGTTGTAATCACTGCTGTAAGGATTGAATTGAATTATAAACGGAGGTTTAATTGTAATTAAACGTGTAATGCAAGAAAAAAGTTCACACAATTTCTCACTCTAAACGCCAGAATGTTTAACAGAATTATACCAGAAATCTTAAACTTATCCAAATTATACGTCAGATCATTGATACTTAGGTGACCCATGTAGATGCCTTGTCTTTTAGAAAATTTAGAATGAGTTAAATTTTTGTGGCATCTAATCAAATTTTGTTGAAAAAAATTCGAATAGCCATTTTTTTAATATATACGGAGGGAACATACAATCCATCATACTTTTACAATCAATATATATGTCTGTTAATTAAGCCTCAAATTAAAAACCTTTTAAAACAGAATCAACTTGTAATTAAATGGAAAGAGTACAGTTTTATTATCTATTTGATCCTTCGAAACTTAAGTTTAATAATTAAAAAACTATCTATAAGTATTTTAAAGTCAATCACAAATTGTTCGAAGAAATCTTTCCTTTTTTTCTCATTACGTTGTCATTATTTAACTCGTTTATTTCAACATACTTTGTATAAATTAGGAATTTCGCTTATTTGGCAAAAAATATACATTCATTGCTTTAAGTTTCATTAAAGATATTTGTTCATAAGTTAACTATATTTAAGCCTCTATATTCTTAACCCATAAAAAAAAAAGAGCAGTACTTCTATTTTTAACTTACTCCTCTCAATCTTTACTCGTATTTTAATGGTTTGATCTATATAATATGTAGAATAGAAATATCACGCGTGTATAATCGATCTAGAGTAATGAACCAAGTGATAATAAGACGGCGTAAGAGCTCAAATTTGTACAGAGATTCAGCTATTAAAAATAATATGTAGTATTAAGAATACGGCAGCTTGTTTTACCTTTTTATCTGTGTAAGTACGGGTGTGTGCGTGTATGTATTTGTCATGTTAATTACGGAAAGCAATTAGATCATTAAATGTTTAAACCATTTTGCATTCAATATGCCTTACATACAACATATATTTAGTTCTTTGATGTGCATGTATTAACTTTAAAACATATTGCTTTATAGTTTTACAAGCATAAGAAATAAGAATCTTTACGAAAAATTTAAGTATTTTAATGTACGTCTTTCTAATGTAACAAGTTTCTTTCTTTTTTATTGGCAAATGAGTTTTCTGCTCGTTACGGTTTAAATTTATACGTAATTATCTATTCATTATGTAACTATCATATCTCGACTGTATTATTCAACAAAGAACACATGCGATCTTGTGGATCGCCGTCTTAGGAAACAACGTGTTGCAGCAAAGGCAATTTCTTTTCGGTACTAATTGTCAGCAGTCGCATTCAAGTGTACAATATCAAATTTGTACCTTGTCTTGGTTTAGTTTCTCAGGTTGTTTCAAATCTTGGCAATATAGTCAGTCCTAATTAACATTTCTTCTCACAATGTTTAATTATCTAAAATGTATAACTTCTACGGTATTTTAGACCGTGAATTTCAACAGTGTTAGCCAAATGTTACAACGAAGTGTCCGATGGTGGTGTACTTTCGTGATGACTAATTTGACTTAGAGAGTGTTGTAAAGCGTCAGGCGTTAGCCATTCCTTTGGCAAGCAACGTTGGAGAAACGGTACGCACGAACTGAAATACGCCAGACGATTTACCCAACCAGGTATTTCCTGTCCACATAGAATCTGAAATACATTGATTCTCATTATATCTTCATGTAATTTGCTTATCGATATCGTTACAGAAAGCAACGCACCAACGTGAACTGACTGCTGAAGTGATTGCAATTTTTATTCATCAAATGATACCGATCTCCTCTAAAATCTTTGCCTAATTCCGCAATAATTCTTGAAACATCTTCTTCCGTGAAATCTGTATATCCAATATGAACGGATTGTCTGTAAAACAAGAGGATCGCACTGATTTTTATGGCCTTCGAGAAAATGTACGTTTTACATTTACAAAAAAAAACAAATAGTTAAATTTTACCTATATCTAAACTGCTCGCCTAATTCTTCAGCCACTCTTGGAGTGATCTCAAAAATGCCGCTTTTTGGTTGAGCATGACCACCGTACGCATATTCTGAAGCAGAAATGTATTTCTGTTAAATTCTTGTTTCTTCGTACTTTTATTTTTTGAATATAATACCTACCTGTCCCATATATTTCCACTCCAGAATGAAATACTCCGAGACCAATAGGGGTGGTATATTCATTTATCCAATACTACAACATAACATTTGACATAAATTACATCAACAAGAAGATGGTCATCTTACAATTGTCTATTTTCTATGAATAATGTTTGACTTCTGATGAAAGACTAGTTAATTGCAACTGATTTTATAAAAGTTATTGATCGACAGTAATAAGCGATTCATAATAATGCACATTTTATTTGTGATACATTGAAAATAGCGACTTACCATGTCATAAACATTAAGAATGATTGGTTCACGTGCCATTTTTGGGATTAATTCCTCGCTATCTTGCGGATAACCCAAACAGCTGGGGAAAGAGAGATTGCAGTTAAGGCCTGACGAAAACATTATTGGAAACTTTGTAATCCGCAGAGCTAAAGTTGGCTATTTATGTCCTAATGCACCTAATAAACAAATATGATCTTATTACTATACAATCTCCTTATATAATGAAGAATCATAAACTTAATTACAACTAAATACAGCAAAAAAACTATACTAATTTTGTTTTTTATATATTGATTGGTTTAAGGATTGAGATAAATAAATATTAATTGAAAGTTATAAAAAATTGATTTTTAGGCTCTCTAGTTGTGTCTTGAAAATAATGTAGGTATACACATAATATTTCCATAAGTATTAAAAATATATATAAAAATAATACATGCGCACATACATATATACATATGCATACATAGACTACGTTTACACAGCAGCTTATAATTGAGTTCTATAACTACTGTATATTATCCGTTCAAAATTTTTCTTTTTTTTATCAATGATCACCTAAATATGAACCTAAATATAAATTTTATACATTTGAATCAAACATTTGAATTAAAAACTCTTTTAATATATGTATATCTGTACCTGAAGTAAAGAATCGTATGTCCATTTTTTAACATTTTGAGAAAATAAGGTTTAAAGTTTTAAATAAGAAAATAATATTATATATATATATAGAGAGAGAAAAAAATATATATATAAAGAGGAGAGTTGAATCCGAGCACGTAAAAACACGTTTGTCTCAATCACAGTCGAAACGCACTACCAAGCGTCATGTTGTCACGTGCTCGGATTGAGCTCTTTGTTCAAAATTTGAACGAGATATTTGAAGTGGTTCAACTCTCCTCTATGGTCAAGTCTCCCGAACTCCCCCTATATATATATATATATATATATATATATATATATATATATTTTTTTTAGATATAAAATAAAAGTAGCAACTTGATTTATTAAGTTTTTAATAAAGTAATTTAAACGACATGTTTTATAGTGCAACTCTCAATAACACGCTGTACTTGGTTTAAAAATTAGGCACTATAAAAATTTTTAATACGATTTTTTCTAAACATTGTATCTCAGGAACTAGTAATAATAGACATAAGACACTTTACCATTATATAATTTAACTCCTGTTATATTGAAAACTGTATTAACTCCATTTTGTCAAAAACTGGAGATATGATCCTTTATTTGTAAAGTACAGATAATACAGGATGATTTAAAAGGTTACTGCCAGACTTAAGGAGCATATAGAGGGGTCAAAATAGAACAACTTTTAATCACGAACCCATGTCCTTCGAAGTAACCCTGAGTCAGTACAGGCCTTTGAATATTTAAAACTAGGATAATACCAATGAAATAATCGCAATTACTACTTTTCTGCTAGCTTTATTTTGTTTCTATTAAAGTTTTGTCAAAGATTACGTGAGATACCTGGGATTTTTGAGAGAGTGCGCCCAAGTTCTGTTCGACGATGCAATGCATGCCTTGAATGTGGAGATCGCAAATTCAAACTTTTTGTGAATTCAGTTTGCGCTTGTGTAATCCTTAACAAAACCTTAACAAAAACAAAATAAAGCTAGTGGAAGAATACCAAATTACGATTATTTCATACAGTATATTATCCGAGTTTCATACATTTAAAAGCCTGTACTGACTCAGGATTACTTCAGAGAACATAGGTTCCTGATCGAAAGTTGTAAATTACTATTTTGATCCTTCCGTATGCTCCTTAAGTTTGGCAGTTTTTGAATCACCCTGTATATACAAGATGTCCCATTTTAATCTTCCCATGCAATTATCTCCCAAATTATTTGTTGTTTGAAAAAATATTTCAAATAGAACTTACTCTGTTTCAAGGGAAACATCTTATTATGGACATAAATCTTGGTCTCTAAGTAGAGATACCCCCAAGATTTCAAGGTAACTTTTGTTTTTTTAAATTGGACCTCCCAAGGCTATAAATTGTAGTTTAAGTATCAAAAGCTCCTATTTAAGTTGCTTTGATCAAAAGAAAAAAAATTATAGATCAGATAACATACAATTTAACTCTAGCTCGTCACACTCTGGTCCAGTGAATCACCAAACGTTTTCCGGTTTTCTAGTTTTCACATTTCCTTATAATAAGTTCAGTTTAAACTTAAATTATTTTCTTGATGTTATCATAAACATCTTATTCAGACTCTGCATTTCCAATTCCTATATTACAAGCGGAAAAATATTAATTAGAATAAAAATGACAATGCAACAAAGTCAAGCAGTCTCACGGACCGGAGTGTGGCGAATTAAGGACTCAAAAATAAGTGTGGCTAGTTAAAGTTAATATTTCATTAACAATGATAAGCACATACAGATAAATATTAAGCGAAAGACCAATACCTTTGTGGCGATATAATATAGGTTTGACACAAGCATATGTAATGCTTTGCATTTAGTTGCTGGATACGTACACCTCTTAAGATTATGTTTACTCGTGCGTTTTGATGTTCTTCTCCTATCTTGATTTCTTAATGTCGAACCAATTGGCTTTACGTTGACTGATTAAATGTCACAGCATGCAGCATGTCATTCCCATACAATTGTCTGCAATAACTGAAAGGGTTGGTTCATCTTACGTTTAAGGAAATCCCTCTTCGAATTACAAAGAACTACCTTTTAAAAATTATTAGATATCAAGCATTTGTAGCGACCGTCTCTGCTTTAACGTGCTTTTTTAATACAAATCGCACATAAATAAGGAATATAATGTTATTCACGAAGTGACATCCCGTTAAATTCCTCAAAGTAACGCACAGCACTTCTCAGGTTTGGGAGGCTTGCTACACGAGTAAATAATTTGTCTCTTGGTATGGGATTAATACCAGGCAGAGGCTGCTGGTTAAAAATTTGGCAAACTGTTCTCCAGCGATAATTCCTCTCCGAAATAGATAAGTGTCACTTCTCATTTGTAGTGCTTGTGGTCTTTCTCATTTGAGATACGATAAGAATGTGTTCATCAATGCGCGCCATCTATCGACGCGCTTATAAAGGCCTATACCACATAGGTTCCCACAAACCACCATGTTTTTTTATCTTTTCGCGATTTTCTGCCGATGTTAAGGCCCGTATTCATATGGCAGTTTTATAGATGTTAGCCTTAAATTGATAGAAATAAAGCTTAAGTCGTAGGCAAATAAACCAATCTTCGATTACTTTAATATGTGAGATAATTTTTAGTTTTTAAGAGTAATAATAAACCAACAAACGCTAAAATTAGACCAACAATCATCAGCAAACGATTACGCATCGATTAGGCTTTTTTGAAATTAAAAATAAAATTTTTCCGATTAACTTAATGCTAATTTTTCTTTTTAAATTTAAAAAAAAATTAAGAACCAACAAACATTGTAATTAGGCCAACAATCACCAACAAACGACCAACAAACGATAAAAAAATATGAAAATTAATAAAGTCGAAGTTGACCGGCTAAGTTACCAGAGCTGCAAAACTCAAATAAAAAGCTCGAATGAAAAAATCCGGCACGTCCCATTTTTTTCGTACTAGTTACTAGATTCATACGGATCCAATTCCTTTTTGCCAACATTATGGGCCCGGACACACACTTCTGCACAACGCATAATGCGTAAGCATAAGAAAATTGATTGGTCCATACACATGTGCATAAGGAAATAAACCAATCAGTTTTCTTATGCTTACTATTATGCGTTGTGCAGAAGTGTGTGCTCTCCGCTTATTACTTTAGGCCTTTACACTGTGCTGTGATTGGTTATGCCATTGTAGGTTCTGCTAACTTGAACCAATGAAAAAAGTTCTAGGGAAATGGCCAGAGATACAAGTTTTCTAGAGACTCTAGCCGTGCATCGTGAACACTACTGAACACGCGACATCTGGCGAAATCTGTAGAGTTACATCATGGGCATGCGATGGTATGGTTCCGCGCTAGCGTACGCAGTTTATTAGTTGATTTTGTTAATATTCGCTAACAGGTATCCTCAAAGAGAACATATTGACGAGCTAGCGTGAATAGTCAAGCTTGTCGACTTTTAAAAAAATTGGAGGGTGATAATGATGGGCTCCTTACAGATATTTGTGCGAACCGGGAAATTTGGTAAGATATCCATCATGATTTTTGTAACAAAACCTGATCTTGATGGTGTTTTTCTCCTTCCGTTCCCTCTTTTTTTTCCTCTTTGTCTGTATTAGGATGCAGTGCTACACTTTTACTTTAACTGTTGTATTAGCTGATTCTCGTACACAAAGTACATTCTTTGATATTATTTATTCAATTTAAAGATTGCTTGTTATGTACCAATATATGATTATAATTTACGTACAACTCTTCCTTACCTACTATTTTTTCCTTTAACATATATAATTATACTACTAATTCATAAAATTGCTCGATTAGTAACAAAAAGAACTTCCTTGATGTCCCCTAGTGAATTGTAATAATAATTTTGATAATTATAAATGTTTCAGCTCCAAGATTTCTTAAGGTTCCAAAGGGAGTAAGCACATACTTGAGTCGAAGCAAATATTACTATGTAAATGAGAAAAAAGATGAAAACTGGACAAATATTATGGACGCTGCAAGTACGCATATGTTTTTCCTTGAAATTTTTCGAGGCTTTGGAGTCATTTTGTCTCAGGTGTTTAGAGAGCCAGCGACGATAAATTATCCTTTTGAAAAGGGGCCTCTGAGTCCAAGGTTTAGGGGAGAGCATGCACTAAGAAGGTATGTGTGTGTGTGTGTGTGTGTGTGTGTGTGTGTGTGTGTGTGTGTGTGTGTGTGTGGGTGGTGTAGTGTGTGTATATATATATATATATATATGTAAGCCAAAACTGTAAGTAATTTTGTTAATGATATTTTATGTATCATTATTTTATATATATTATATTATATATGATACATATATTTTGATATTAATTTGATAAATTGATATTTTATGTTAATATCTTAATATATATTTTTTCATAATAATTAATAGTAGATGAGCTAGCTTCATTTTTTCGTGATTATTTCGGTATTTGTGAAACTTTTTATGGTGATTCAGAATGTTATTCAATGATCAAACCTCCGGGGACTGACAAAAAAGTGGGGGGCTTTGGGTGGTATAGCCACCCACTTGTGCAAAAAAATTTTTTTTTTAAGTCATTTCGGTATGTCAGTCATTTTGCACCATAATTCTTTGATATATTCTATGACTATTAGCATAATTGACTGACAAAAAAGTGGGTCTCAAAACCTTCATAAAATATTGTAAATTCCACAGTTTGCGATGACTTATGAATCTTTTCCTTCTACCATTGATGGTCATCAGGACTCATTTTAATTCTTATTCTTATTGTCATATGATTTTTAAATAATGTTACAGAATCGAGTGACGACCTTTCTGAGGATGAAGATGACCTAAATGATTGTGATGAAGAAGAAAAAAAAGATTCCTAGTTTTATTATTTATTTTTTATGATGATGATTCAATGCCATTTTTCATTACTTTTTTTTTTTAATTATATAATAAATAACCATAAAAAAAGATATTGGCTTCAGTTTACGATGTACTTTTAATTATTTATTTGAATAATGAAAAGACAATAAGAATTAAAATGAGGGTAATTATGCATAATAGCGACGTCCTCTCCGATGACCTTGACCTTGACATATGTTGTGAAGGTCATCCTACTGAGTGACCTTCAAAAGGTTTTAGCCGTCGGTCATTGTTTATTAAAAAGTTATAAACAAAAAAAGTTTGAAAAATATAGCAGTTATTTTGAGTTTTGGAAGGCATAAACGACTAATATAAACGTCTTTTTTTTTAAAGCAGAGAATACTTTATTCCGCGAGAAAGTCGCTGCTTTACCAAAACACAACATTTAAAGCAGTAAATTGTTGATAAATTTAGAGTTCCTAATAAGAGTTAAGCCAATGTGGTGACGATTTTTTATTGGTCCCGTCATATGTTTCAGCCAAGTTAGTGAGAGTGAGACAAGCTGTAAATGGGAATGAGACAAAGCTATCATGGTCGTCATATGTTTCAGCCAAGAAGTTAGTGGGAGTGAGACAAAGCTATCATTTGGCTGTATATGGCGGCGGTTTGTCCTAACTCTTATTATAGGAACTCTAGATAAATTAAAGTCTTTTTGTTAAAGCAGAGAATACTTTATTTTGCGAAAAAGTCGCTGCTTTACCAAAACACAACATTTAAAGCAGTAAATTGTTGATAAATTCTTTTTGTTAAAGTCTTTTTGTTAAAGCAGAGAATACTTTATTTTGCAAAAAAGTCGCTGCTTTACCAAAACACAACATTTAAAGCAGTAAATCGTTGATCACTAACCTACATAGGTTAGTTGACGCGCTTTAAAAGTATTTAAGTGTTTAAAGCGCGTCAACTAACCTATATATGCACCTATATATGCTATATATTTTCCAAACTTTTTTGTTAATAACTTTTTAACAAATAGCGAGCGACGGCTAAAACCTTCTGAAGGTCACTCGGGCTCATGACCTTGACAACATATATCAAGGTCATTGAAATCGGTTTCAATTCACTGCATTAACAAAAAGACTTTAATTTATCAACAATTTACTGCTTTAAATGTTGTATTTTGGTAAAGCAGCGACTTTCTCGCGAAATAAAGTATTCTCTGCTTTAAAAAAAAGACGTTTACATTAGTCGTTTATGCCTTCTAAAACTCAAAATAGCTGCTATATTTTTCAAATTTTTTTTGTTTATAACTTTTTAATAAACAATGACCGACGGCTAAAACCTTTTGAAGGTCACTCAGTAGGGTGACCTTCACAACTATGTCAAGGTCAAGGTCATCGGAGAGGACGTCGCTATTATGCATAATTACCAAAATGAGTTCTGATGACCATCAATGGTAGAAGGAAAAGATTCACAAGTCGCAAACTGTGGAAATTACAATATTTTATGAGGGTTTTGAGACCCACTTTTTTGTCAGTCAATTATGCTAATAGTCATGGAATATATCAAAGAATTATGATGCAAAATGACTGACATACCGAAATGACTTGAAAAAAATGACATTTTTGGGCGGCCCTACACCCACAAGCGACCCACTTTTTTGTCAGTCAATTTGTAAATAGTCATAGAATATATATCAAAGAATTATGGTGCAAAATGACTGACATACCGAAATGACTTAAAAAAAAAATTTTTTTTGCACAAGTGGGTGGCTATACCACCCAAAGCCTCCCACTTTTTTGTCAGTCCCCGGATCTTTGATCATTGAATAACATTCTGAATCACCACAAAAAGTTTCATAAGTACCGAAATAATCACGAAAAAATGGAGCTAGCTCCCCTACTATAATAAGATGTTATATAATTTATTATAGCTTATATTTCAAAAATTTTTAAACATTTTGATACAAGCGTTAACGTTACAACATGAAGAAAAGAAATAAATATAATAAATTAGATTTTTGCGGGATCTTTCAGGTATCCTTCTGGAGAAGAGAGATGTATTGCTTGTAAATTATGTGAGGCGATATGTCCTGCGCAAGCTATTACAATCGAGGCGGAGGAAAGGGCAGACGGATCTCGACGGACTACAAGATATGACATTGATATGTCTAAATGTATTTATTGCGGTTTTTGCCAAGAGGCTTGTCCGGTAGATGCTATTGTTGAGGTATTATTTTATTGTTAGCAAAGAGTTAAAATGATAAAAGAGTGACACAAGAAAGGAATTTTATAAAATTAATAAATGAATTGTTTTACACGTGCAGGGTCCCAACTTTGAATTTTCAACTGAAACTCACGAGGAGATGCTGTACAACAAGGAAAAGCTTTTAAATAATGGAGATAAATGGGAATCTGAAATTGCTAGTAATATCCATGCTGATCATTTGTATCGTTAAGCATTGTGTGTGTAATGTAGTCGCAATTAATGATTAAGTAAAAAGGTATGAGGAATTGAATATTAAAGAAGATTCCTACCGCTACATATGTAATATATGAAATATTTAAATAGATTAAATAAAAGGATGTATAGTTAAATGTGGATACTTTTTTAATATTATATAATTATTTTTAACATTAATAGAGTAATATTTATTTTATAATAATAGAGTATTCAAAGGATGAATGAAACTGAACCTCCCTAACGTCAATCTAGATCTGGAAGATTTATTATGAGTCTCTCCACTGGTTTTGGAAGTTAAAATCCTGTGTATAACAGCACATATTAGGAATAAGAATAAATATTAGACTGTATAAATATAGGAATATTCCTGTTATATAAAGAGATTTTAAAATCTCGGGTACTCGCAACTCGTGCGTTCGCGTAAATGAGTCACGGTGCGTCTCGCTCCGCGCGTACTTGGCGCGAAACACTACCGTGTCTCTTGATATTAACTCTAGGTATACACAGTCTTATTTTATCTACGTATTATACACTGTGCGGTCTCGGAGACCCCATCCACATTTGTTATCGTAACTTCAGTAAAAATGGATATATTTTAGTTTAGTTTTTTTTTTTTTTTTTTTTTTTTCCAATCGATCGAGAATTGATCAAGGAACGGGCCTATAATGTATAAAAGTCGATAGAATTAGAGCTCCGAGATATACGGGTAAAAAGTGCGGTCTACAAACAGAAACGCGTAAAAAGAAAATAGGTCTAGGGTCTCGGAGACCTACTGTGTATAGGCTTAAATATTAGAATATGTAAATATAAAATTATTCCTTTATTTATATCTTATATTTTATTCGTTTCCATTGTGTGTTACGTTTAATGATTATTTCTAATTTTGATTCGTAATTAATATTTATTTAATATTTATCTAATATTTATTTAATATTTATTCTTATTCATATGCTCTATTGTGTGCAGGACCTAAAACAGGACCAAGAGTTACCGACATCACAATATAGACGTTATCGACAGAATTTAAAGTTGTAATGTAGTACATACCTACTACCGATAGAGTTCATTACATAGTTTGTAAAGTGCGCCACCAAACGACACGGCTGTGGTGCGCAAATGCTTGTTTCATTCATAAAACTGTTGAAAGCTCTCTTGTCTGATCCTTTTTAGTTATAAACAGTTATAAATACTGTGAAAATATATAGTGTGCAAGCGTGAAATATCGACTACACCCGCAGTAATATTACTTGGGAAGTTGAATATATTTTTAGTTAGGAAACAATTTGTTTTTAATTATATATATCAATAAGCATGACTGGGTTACTTGCATTCTGCATAGTCTTTTTAATCCTTTACTGCTTCTTTACTCGGTAAGCGTTGAGATTTAAATGAAGATAATATTATCTTAGAATAAAATACGTCACAATCGTCTGTTCAACAGAGTGGTACCGAGGCTGTTAGCATGGATAGTGAAACGTCGTTATAAAATTCACTTGAGAGTGGGCCATATATCTGTACCTTATTTTATCTTCCGTGATGTCAATGTAACTAAAAATGGCTTTACATTGGTGAGTTTTTCAAGACATTGTACGAATGATTCAAATTATATGTAATGTGATACAATAAAAAGGGATATTTAATTTCAGCAAATTGAAGAGATAAGCATACGTAGCAGTTTACTTAGTAGCGATGTAGCAAAACTGTTAGCTGTTGTTATGAGGGACGTCAGAATAAATAAGGATGTCCCAGTCGGACCGACGTGTAAGCTAAAGCAATCCAATGAACTATTAGATTTTAGAAACAGGAAAATACCACCAATTATAATAAAATGTGTCCAGGTACATGCGCAGAGCTAAGGTTTCAAGTTGTCACATTTTTCTATGTGTTATAAAACTTGTTAGACAGACTATATGTTTATTGATGACTCTCTATTAATGATTTATTTCAGTTTACGGCTGTACATGTAGAGAACATAAGTGTACTGGCTCTTGGCAATGGCTGGTTGGCGAATGGGAATGCAGAAAGTCTAAGCTTGGACGGCAGTATTGTACATGGTGCACGCACACTGTTAGCATCCGCCTCTATTGTCGGTGGAACTATGAAATTACTACGACACGCTTCCGACGCATGTCTCTCTCAAGTAACATTTGCTGGAACAGTAGAAGCTACGTTTAAAGCTCAGGGAGAACTTTCAGTCGAGGTACAACATCGAAAGTTTCTCGCGTTGATACTTAAAAATCGATGAAGGAAAATTATATAATGTGTTTTAACAATTGTTACCTAAAATTATAAATAAACTCTACGTTATGGTAGCCTTATGGTAATAAATAGATTTGTAATAAGTAAATCTGATTATATCGACCGTTTTCAAAAGGAATCAAGTGGGATCTGATTTATAGACATTATGTATTGGAGTGACGCAAACTGAAGGTTCAGGTGGTGCAGGTCTCATTCAGTTCCTGAGAGATAGAAATTCACTAAGTACTACAGCTTGTACATGCAGCAATGTACATAGTAATTCATCCAATAACTTAATGACTAGAATAGCTCCTATTTTGCCAAAAGTAAGTCTCCTGATTGTAGGTAAACAATAATAACAGGTATTGCTGTAATTACTTGTACTACTTTTGTTATTCTGTTACACTTGTAGGATTTTACATTGAAAGTCGGTAATTCGTTGATAATAGCTGGTAGAGAGGATAGTAGTATGATGGGTTTGGAGGGCACCTTAAAAAGTCTTCAGGTTCATGCAAAGTTTGAAGCTAATAGGACGCGATTGAATTTTACTGTAGGCCTAGATGGTCTGTGTGTCCGTGGAAAGCTTCCTATTTTAACTCTACACTCGTTGTCGATCGATACAAAGGTAAGAGTTAAGAATACATTAGCGAAATTAAACGATAAGAATGGATAATTTTTAATGACTTGCTCAATTTTGTACAGATGGAGGAGAATGTTTTGTGCGTTGACGTACAACTGAATAATCTTTCGATGATGTATGATCACAAGGACTGGGAATTGTTGCTATATAATAATGAAAATGACATTTCAAAACCTGTTAGCAGCATATCGTTGAAAGATAGATTACCAAACTTTGAGATAACATTAAATGCCGAGCTGTATGATTCTTCGTTGAATATAAAATTACCAGATGTACAGGAGGCATCTTGTGGTGTCGCACATATGAAATTCGCCTTGAATTTGTTTACAGGTGGGCTATACTTTTTTTTTCTTTTTTCTCAATTATGAATCGTTAATTTCTATGATACGTTTTCTGTGATAGACAAAGCCAAAAATCTAAATACAGAATTGGTCATTGAATCGTTATATTGTGCATTAAATGGCGCCAATAGCAACCTCTCCGAAACTTCTCATCAATGGGGCAGCCCACTTTCCATTGGAGTATTGTTAGCAACAACTCGTAGCAACGCCATAGGAGTCGCAGTCGATGCTCTTGTAACGGAATGGAGTTTAGAGCTCGCAAAATTTCTCGAGCAAGCTTATAAGTAATAATAAAATCATTTATGCGATATATTAATACTATAGAACGGAAAATGTAACGTAAATGAGATAATCGCAAAAAAATTATTGTAGGTGCTACAAAAAGTGTCGGCAACCAATGGTAAAAAAGAAGGATACGAAATTACGTAATTCTATCCAATTGAATCTTAAAGTGACAAACTGTAATCTATTCTTTATCGCGGAAAACGAGCGTAAGTATCTAACCGTCACGCTACCGAAAAAATTTTTTCACATTACGCGCATCTGTTTTAGTGTCTATAATGATGCGTTTGGACATAGCGACTGTGGAACAAAATGCAAAGCGATTCGTAGGCGTAGCGGAAGGTATGAGCGCGATAACTCTCAACAAGAACGAGCCGATTATGTGTCAACACGCGCAAGCCTTGACGCATCCGTTTTTGGCAATACGAAAGTGCAAAGCTGCGATTAGTTCTGACGCCGTGAACATTAGTCTCGACGGTACTAATCTAGCATGGAGTCCTAATTTACATCTTCGTCTACTGCAATTTTGGGTGGAGTCTGAAGATTTTAGATCTATTGTCAAAAAAGAAGCGAGCGCGACTCGTATCGAAGGTAATAAACACATATCGTTGAATTAGTTAATTATGAATTAATTTGCGGTCAATATTTTAATATAATGACTCTTAACGTGGAATAATTACATTTGTTCTATTTCCAGAAGTGCAAAAAAAGAAACGCGTTTTGGACTTGCTAGCCACAGGTGGAATCACCGTCTCTATAGATATTTCTACTAAACATTTCCTGATACTGACGTCCGATCAGCTGCGTTGGTCGCAGGGCGAATGGAGACTCACCTATGTTCGAGTTACTCTAGACATGGCTGATGTAATTATGATTGAGGGTTTCGAATTGATTAGAATAGCCGATAACGCGGAAGTGCGGGCGGAGAGGCAAAGCAACGAGGGTTTCGTATTGGATTGGAACGAGTGTTGGTCGCTGAACATCGACTCCATCAAAATTTGTTTTCCATATGAGCATCAATTTACAAATGCAATACAAAATGAATTGCTTAGCATCAGAAAGTGGTTGAAGGAGATCCATTCCTCAAGCATATCTAAACGAGAGTCCCTGCCCTGCGATTTGATCATCAAGATTAAGGAGTGGACGTTCGAACTGAGCGATGATCCGTTCGAGGTACGTCTGCGCGACAATTACGAACTGCTCGAAGACGAATATAAGGAGAGCTTAAAACGACAGGCGATGTTGGATGCTAAAGTACAAGAGCTTTGCCGTGCGCACTTACTGCTACCGCAAGGAAAGGTCGAGGAATTATACGCCAGCTTAAATAAGAAAAACGCGGAGATCTATGTGCAGAGATGGAAGCAGATGCAACGGGCGGGCCCCGCGAGGACTCGTTTGTTCGCATGGACTATGTTGGACCTGGAGATATTAGCCCTGGCCGATCCGTCCATAAATGGTACGGATAAAGCGGTGAGAGCACTTCGAGAGATGGACTCGGAAACACCGTGGCCCGAGGACGGTATGGAATTCAACACCGTGTGGGTCCGCGGGGTCAGTCTGAAATGCGCTGAGTGGAAGCTCCAACTTCGCGATTTCCCACAGCCACTGCTCCTGGTGGAGAATCTGAACGTATGGGGCAGATTAGCTGGAGCGGAAGCTCTGGCACCACCGAGAGCGAAGAGGACCGTAAGAATTGAAATCGGCGCCCCATGGGACGATATAGTGGTTGAAAGAGGAATGACATCTCTCAAGTATTATCACGATCTCAATTGGGATATCGACAAATTCAGATATGCGTTCGGTCCATGCTGGGAACCGGTGATAGCGCAATGTAATCTCAGTTTCGAGAAGATCCTCCATCCATCGAGGGATCCAAGCCCGCCGTTGCCGTTTTGGGACAAGATGCGACTGGCTCTTCACGGCAGACTGACGCTCTGTGTAAAACAGCTGACGGTACTGTTGCACGGCTCTCTGGATCCGTATAACACCACGGAAGAGATGGAACTCACGTGGACCGGACTGGAGCTCGACTGGACGCAAGGAAAAATCATTATTAAGGGCGATCTCGACGTATACGTACGTACAGCTAGTAAATACGACGATTGCCGGTTACTACATTTGCCCAACGTCAGATTGAGCGTTAAACTAGCGTGGGTATGCCTAGGCGATCCGCGTGATCATCATGCCGCTATACCCTGCGCCCCGGACCGGTTGCCCGAATATTCTAGCAATCAGGAGCACGACTCGTTCAGGGCGTTTCGCTCTCAGAACCTGAACGTTAGCCTGTCGTTGGAGACCAAACCGACTGGCTCGCCTACATTGACCAGTGCGCCAACGGCGCTGCTCTATGGCAGCACATTGAGATGGTTCGAGAATCTTAAATTAATTTTGTCAGGCGCGACGAGACCCACGAGGAAAGGCCCATTGTTTAAAAACATTCGGCCTAGGAAGAAACAGCTCAGCAGACACTACAGGAAAGTCCGGCTGACCCTGGCCTTCCATCGGTTCCACGTTAATTACTGGATGTCGTTCGCCATGCAGCGAGGCTTCGAGGTGACTGGCGGCCGAGTCGCCTGTAGCTCGGAGCACAATCTTGCGTTACATCCGATTGACGACGGGCTGATTCATCGACCGCGGGCAGAATGGTCCATCGTGTATATGAACTGCGAGCTAAGCGATGCCGAAATTTGGTTGAAGAGCGCTCTGCAAGAAGACGAAATGGAGAGCGCATCGCTACGTCAGCCAGTCGAGAAGTGTTACTGCTTGAGCGTGGCGCGTGTCAGCTACGGCAGGGAGGCGATGGTCGCCGGGGTGAGCGGCGACACGCCAATTCATCGATTGGTCGTGCACGATCTGCGCGGCGCCTGGACGAAGACCAATCGTGACGTTGCTTTCGCTCTCTTTGACTCCTTCATCAAGACTCAGCAACTGAAAAAGAATCTGTCGACCGCGGCGCTCAAGGGTTTCCACAGGGACAACAGCTCGACGCTCAATCCGCACAAGAACCGTGCTACCAGACCTACCGTAGTCGATCAACAAGGCACCTCCACGCAAGTCGTAACGGCGTCGTCCTCCGTGAAGCCGCAACAAGGCGAGGCGGCGGAGATGTTGCAGCAACTGATAGCAGAGGCCGCGAACAAACCTGTGGCCTTCAGCGACGATCTGTCGGTGCAGACTAGAGGACAACAACTGCGCGGGCTAGCGGCATGTCACCAGGACGACGTCTTGCATAAGAACTGGCTAAGTACGTAACGTTTTTCATAAAAATCCTCTTCGTAGACATCAGTAAATGGTAATTTGCACGAAGCGAAGAATCATATACTTCGCGTTTGACAAGAGAACGAGCAAAAGTTTAATAAATTTATATTCTTTTCAGTTGCTTTGGTAAACAGCCAAGTGCTGTTGAAGGGCATCGAAACCCGCGGCTACGTGATTCTCTCGGCGGCTAAAGCGGAAATACTACAGAGAGTCCATCATCCGGTTTGGAAGGAGCGATCTCTCGTTTCGAAAACAACTTGGGTCGGCTCGTTAGAATGCATGCAGTACTACGCTACTGTAAGCGCAAACATCGACGACAATATCGATGACAATATCATGTGGCTGACGTTGGATAACATACAAGTACGTTTGTCAGACTGTGAATGTGGTATGTGAATTCGCGGAGCAAGCTGTATGTTACGGTGTGTTACATTTTAGGAGAAAGATTCTACCATCATAGCCGGTTTGCCGGACGTCCCGGCTCTGGTGGGATCTGGTCAGAGCGTCGGCGGTGTGGTCAGTCAGACGGTGGGAGGCGGCGGCGGCTCTCAGCATCAATTGCAACGTATAGTGTCTCGTTGTAAGTGCGAATTCTTCTACGTCGGTTACGGTCAGACCTTGGATGTGGGCTCTGTGGATCAAGTGCCGACTCCGCCCGGAGAAGAGGTCAGCCCATGGGAGAGGAAGGATCTAACCGCGGCCGACGCGTTTACCTTGATGCACCATGATCTGGATGTCTGCACCAATTCATTGCAATACGCGATGATATTGGACATAGTTAATAATTTGCTGCTATATGTGGAACCGAGACGAAAGGAAGCTTCAGAGAGATTGCAAAGGATGAGATTCCAATTGCAGCTGCATTCTGTTGAGGATCAAAAGAGACCGATACAGCAATTACAAAATACGGTGCGCGGCTTGGTGGCGAAATTGAGACGGTTGGAACGCGAGACATACTTGGTACAGAAAGCGCTGGCCGACGAGTCTAGTCCGGAATTACTGACTGAGATGGAACGTTTGGAAACGAGCGTATTCGAATGCAAGGAACAACTTAGCGACAAGGCGGAAGAATTGGACGTTATGTTGAGTTGTTACAAGGAAACCACCGCTCCAGCGGCCGCGTCGACTACGCTCAAGGACAAGCCGGCCGCAGTGGCCAGGGTAGCCGAGATTTGCTTTAAACACGCACAGTGGAGACTGACGGATGCGGACGGTCAGTTGGGTATCGCCGATCTTATTCTAACAAATTTTCTTTATACGAAAACTAGCAAGACCGATGACTCGGTGGAGCATCTGCTAGAGCTGGGATATGTGCGGATGACGAATTTATTGCCGAATCAGATTTACACGGAGGTGCTTGTACCCACAGAGTTACAGAGCAACATGCCTGTAGACCGGCAAAGAGCTCTTCGGGTTTTCTGCAGGGAAAAGGCGCCGGTAGCAGGGATTTCCGTGAAGGAACACTTTGAGATCAATGTAGTACCTCTTACGATAGGTAAGTTATTGTAACTTGTGTTGAATATACTGTAGAGCCTTGCTAGGTGTCACATAGTACATGGATCGTTTCGCTTTTTTTCAGGTTTGACGAAGAAGTTTTTCAATACTATGCTTAAGTTTTGTTTTCCTGAGAGGGATCCGGAAGGCATAGAGGAAGCACCGGCGCCACAACGTGATTCGTCCTTTTACGTACCCATCGAGAGAAGAGACGACGTGGAGAAAATGAAGGAAAGAGCGGACAAAAACAAATTGTTCATATACATTAAGATACCGGAAGTACCTGTTCGCGTATCGTACAAGGTAATACTTTACGAATCGAAAAAATAAAAATTAAATATCCTATCCGTTACTTTTATTCGCGAATTATTCTTTAAGATTCAACACTATTTTTACAGGGAAATAAGGAAAAAAACCTTGAAGATGTACGTGATTTTGCACTGGTCATACCAACTTTGGAATACCATAATGTGACATGGACGTGGCTCGATCTGCTTCTAGCCATGAAGAGCGATTCCAGGCGTGTAATATTGAGTCAAGCGATTAAACAAAAATTGCAAATAAAACCGAGGGGGCCACCCGAAGAATCTACGCCGCAGGAAGAAGACAAGGCTCGCCTTTTGTTAGGTACCAGACATCTTCCTGGGGACGCGAGAAAAAAGAGCGTATTTAAATTTAAGTAATTTGTACATCTGATGACTTATGTAATCATAGTAATTTATTTATTGTGGTGTTGATAAACGTTACGCGCGTTGTAAATTCATGTTTTTGTCGTCTAAATTAAATTGTACAAATAACTTGTGATGTAAAACTTAACATATATATGTATATATATACCTATATACATTGTCTTAAAATATTGAAACATCTACATTTTCATCTTTTTCGTACAGCGTTTATGATGGCAAAAAGATGTGATATCGCAATAATTTAAAAAAAAATGTATAAGAAATCTGAAAATAATCTTTTTATCACTTTATTTGTGGCTATTTTTTCTATTATCACGCAATTATCTCATATCTATCATAATAATCTCAGCGTAGATATTACCAAGAATTAAAAATTGTTCGGGAAATTTATGTACAGAATATTACAAGCAAAGAGAGAATTACATTTTACGAAAACAATCTATTTTTATCTAAATAAATTAATTTTACATTTGTACACGCACGACATACATACATGCATACACACACACACATACACACTCAATATAACATAAATTACTTCCTATCGATTCTGTCTGTTAACATATAGCTGACTCCTTGGGCCAGTAATTCTCATGGATTGTATACAATGTTCAAGCGTACTTTGTTCAATGTTATCTACGCAAAATATGTGCAGTTATAGAGTTATTAAGGGTGCCTCTGCACTTTTCCTTGCGTGTCTCCACGCATTTAGATCCGCCAAGATTCGCCTACCATATGCTGTATGGAGCTCACGAAATGTAATTCTAGTCCGAGGTACGTTTTCCGTCCTACCAGGCGCCGACCTGACGCTCTGAGAACGATGATGGGAGTCTGGCTTATTGAAGGGATTATGCCGCTGTCTCGGCGGAGCCTTAGGAGATTGTTGAATTGGAGTGGATGCTGTTTCCTCTTCCACAGCATCCAACTGACGTTGCAGTTCTGTTACCATAAGTTTCATATAATCGTAACTGGCACACGCCAATGCCTTCATCCATTGTTCCATAGATTCCTAGATACCATTGTTCCTCGTTAACCGTGTTTACTAAGGCTGCATTTTGATATTCACTTTCAGTACTGAAAATCTATGGTATATGTGACCTAAACTATAAATTTTCAGTACTGGTAGTGAATATCGAAACGCAGCCTAAACACAAGAGCAAGTACAGTAGGCATTATAAACGTCTATTTACCTGAGACTCTGCCGCTAAAACATAACTTCTGTTGTTCGGCCCGTGAAAAACTATCTTGAAGCCAAACTGCTCCTCGTCCTCCGCCAGTTCGATCGTACAGCCCTCAAGCACGATCATGCCCACCGGCTCTTTATCACCGCGACGATCGAAATAGAATAATATATTTCCTTTGAGTACGAACCATCGCCTCTGATATCCGCGATTGATCTCTCCGCGTTTATTCAACCAACCTTCGCGATCTACCGGCGTCGCAGAGGTCGCGAACGCAACCATATTTTTCTCATTGATTTTCATGGTTTTTAGCAACTTACTCTTGTTGTACTCCCGATCTACGATTTTCTCGTAACTGGCGATGAAGTTTGTCAAATTGCGTTGTAGAACCTACTGTGGCACGAGAGGTTATGTGGGTTCACGTAGGCGCACTACGTCTTCTCCTTCATTAGAAGAATGTAATATCGCAGCTATGTAAGATGCATAGAAAATGTCGGGTATAAGTTTTGACATATCATTGATAAGAATAAACATATTGTATCAGGTTATCAGGTTATATTACGTACTATCATTTCTTCATTTCGAGAAGAAATTCGACAAGGATATTACGAGATACTTCACCATCGTAGGTGCACATATGTATGTAATACGTATTATGCGTTTATACGTTGCGCAAATACCGCGTCACGAAAATTATGTCAGAAAAAAATCACAATCCTGGTAGTACACTCAAGAATAGCCTGTTTTATATTCTTCTTCTTTTTCAAAATTTGACACTCAAGTTTGTTTACGCTTCTTCTTATTATTTTATCTTATTAATGAGGATTCTCGCTGCCTTTTGCTCCCGCATAGCAGAGCCACTGTGTCTGATGGTTATTAGGGGCAAATTTCAAATTGCAGTATAATACCGATTTTGAAGTAGTGCATTCTCCCAAAGTTTTCTTTTCCCCTCATTCTTTGGAAATCTGTGCACTCCTTTATTTGTGCAGTTATCAACACAACACACCTCATATAGCATAAAATATTCCATGAATGTTCTATAAATATTCTTTACAATATTCATGAATTTTCTATGAATGATCTATAAATGTGCAAAGAACGTGTAATGTCCCGCTTTGAATGTCCTTAGAAATTTCTGTAAATATTCTCGAATAATCTACAAATGTTTTATAAATATTTCCCTATAATCCATAATTTTTTTATATATTTATAGAACATTTTTAGATTATTTTAGGAACATTAAAAATGGGATATCGCATATTCTGTATACATTTAATATTCACCCGACATAAAAAAAATTATTTATTTCAAAATTTTATTACTATTTTTTAACTAAATTTGTTTCTTAAGATGCAGTCTATAATTATAAATATTTTCTCGTATTTGAAAAACACACTTACCTTTGTGGGATTCGAACTCGGGACCTCGGGACCTCTACATCGTGAGCCAACTGCCTTCTTAATTTGATGTAAGCGTTATATATATACTCTACATATGTCATAACCAGCGCAAATATATAATTTTTCAAAAATCATCTTAAGAAACAAATTCAGTTTAAAAAAAGTAATAAAATTTTGAATTGGATATATGATATAATATTTCTCAATGTCGGGTGAATGCTTGAAATATGCATAACATATTGTAGATACTTCAAGAAAATCACGAAATATTCTATAAATATTGCAGAAAAATTTCTAAAAAGTTTTTATTATATATATATATATATATATATCCAGAATATTTATATAATGTTCCAAATTATTTTTTAAATATTCCTATAGAATAATTAGAATGTTTTTAATATTTTTAGGAACATTTACATTTTATCACTACTAACATGCACTATTTTTAGCTTTATGATTTTTTTGGAACAACTTCATATTACGGATGTCTTGTGATGTTTTACGACGAGTCTTATAGTAGGCGCACTTATAGATGATTTAGGTATGATTAATTTATTTAAGTCTTGTATTCTTGTAATTTGTTACTTCCCCTGAAATTGCGTTACGTTATTACAGCCACTTGATAAGGGCCCAAACCAAGGGCCGAAACGTCGTGCGAAATTTGATGTACGAAACTTTGCCAGTTAAGTCGAGAAACTGAAATATATTTATTTATCACTGGCGAACTACGAAAGCTGTTTATTTTTAATATTTTTCCTAAAATGTTTATAGATTATTTTAACCCTTTTCGGTCACACTATGTAAAATACACCCCAGCGTTTTTTTACTTTGAAAACGACCCACTAAACCAAATGGAAATGGGCCTTTTGCCGCCATCTACAGGTAGTTGGGACCTTCAAGTATCGATCCCCGTCGGTGGTATATTTTTCGGCCCGTTAGTTCTCTTTCGGCATTTTTTTCCGCAAAAAATCGCACCTTTATAACCTCAAAATCAATATACTTTTTGGAACGGCCGCGTAAACTGCAATAATTAGTGAAAAGTGCGTCATCTGAGGATGAAAAAACCGTTTGAAAAATTAAAATATCTTAAAAATTGAAAAAGTTACATTAGTTTTTGTGAAAAGTCACTTTTCCGACTTTTTTTCAACAATTTTTTTACATATGTTAAATTAATTTTTTGCAAATCAAACCTATACAGTTTTTTTAAGGAAGACTTAAACTACAACAGGATATTTTTTTCTTTTTTTTTTAAGGTCACCTACAATTTTTTATACACGTGCAAACACGCTGGGGGTGTATTTCACCCAGTGTGACCGATACGGTATCTCGGGAAGTGTGACCGAAAAGGGTTAAAAATATTCTACTAATATGTAAAAAATATTCTATTAATATTCTGAATATTTCATGTTCATTGCAATGTTCACAGATTATTATTGAAATAATATTCATAGCAATTCTAGAAAAGTTTTTCAGAATATTCTCATAGCACATGCTATAAATGTATAATGTATAATGTATAATGTTTAAGAATATTAACAAAATGTTCCGTATAAATATTCCAAATATTCTATATTTGTTAAAATATTTACAGAACATTCTATACATTTTTTAAACCTACTATATTTATTAGAATATTTGCAGAATATTCTATGCATATTCCGAATAGACAAAATTTCATGAAATATTTATAGAACTTCTACAGAATATTCTGAATGACCCGTGGAATATTAAAATATTTATAAATTGTTTATAGCACATTTCTTGCATATTCCATGCTGTATGGGACTAATCATTTTTTTTTTTAGAAATTGAATAAGAAAACCGCTACCAATCAATAAACTCACACAGTAATATATGCCAAGCGTGTCTGACAAGGAAGCCTCGCGAACTCGGAAATTCTGATTTTAATAAAACTTCCCACACATGTAGGGGGATTAAAAAGATGAATTTAGATATTTTTTGTAGCTGCCCAAAAACGGTTTTAAAGGGTGAAACCACCCCTCATATGTAGAGCGGCTTTTTGCTTTTCTCGATATATTTCGAAAAGTATTCGAGATATAAAAAAATGTTTCAAATAAAAGTTTTATGGTAAAAACATCTCTATTTAACCACATTAATAAAATAAAATGAAAATTTTTTTAACAAAAATTATTTTTAAAAAATATTATATTAATGATGTTGAATAGAGGAGATTTTACCATAAAACTTTTATTTGAAACATTTTTTAATATCTTGAATACTTTTCGAAATATATCGAGAAAAGCAAAAAGCCGCTCTACATATGAGGAGTGGTTTTACCCCTTAAGGACGTTCTCCGGTTCTTATACTAGAGAAAATCGATTTTCTTAGGATTTTCTTGAAACTGTGAATATACGTTAATTTTTAGGTGTGCTTTATGCGTGGTATAAATTTCAGTACCTCTTCCGGGATAAAAAATAAAGATACTGAGCCTCAAAGTTTCAACTTTTACTAATGAAAAGGTTTTCCAGGCCAAACGGTAAGAGATACGAGGTTGACCAAAAGGACCAAAGTTGCTCCTCTCGTCGAGTTCTATAAGGAAAAAATGCCAAAACTAAAAAAAATTAAATTAAAAAAAATTTTTTTTTTTTTAATTTTGAGGCTCAGTATCTTTATTTTTTATCCCGGAAGAGGTACTGAAATTTATACCACGTATAAAGCACAATTAACGTATATTCACAGTTTCAAGAAAATCGATTTTCTCTAGTGTAAGGACCGGAGAACGTCCTTAAAACCGTTTTTGGGCAACTACAAAAAATATCTAAATTCATCTTTTTACTCCCCTTACATGTGTGGGAAGTTTTATTAAAATCAGAATTTTCGAGTTCGCGAAGTTTTCTTGTGAGTAAAATCCGCCAAATCTGTGACTGTTTATGATGCTGGCAACTTGTCGTATATTTGTCTTTAACGATTTCGAGTATATCGATAATTGAAGCAACACGCAGGCAACAAGCATACGGCACAAAATATTTGCAAAAATAATACTGCTTGGTACCGGTTTCAAGAAAATATTATTGAAAATATTAATGAAAAATTAAACCCATCGTTGCGCCATCACCGAAAAATTAGAAAAATTTTGGCACCAGTTTTAAGAAAATCGATCCATTAATGAATGAGCAGGATTGGGCAGATACGTTTCTGAGATTCATATTTAGATGCATCTTATTTAAATACACCTAGTATTTAAATACCGAATAATCAAGTATCTTGAATTTTGTAATTAATTATTTAATCTAAATGTATCTTGTATTTAAATGTATTTATGTAATTACTATACATATTTTATTCCTTATCGTCGCTATATATATCCTCAACAGCAGTGCATCTACGTATCGATCTTGTACATACGTACACTTATCGTACATATACACTTATCGATCGCCGAAACATTTTTTCATATTTTATAAGTTTTTCAATTTTTTATTTTTATTTTATAAAGTTTATGAGCTGAAATAAATAAAATTTATTTTTGAGAGGCAATAAAGAATTATTAAAATAATAATAAATAGAGTATACTCTGTATATCTATATATCACTTGTATAATATAAAATGTTATTGTCTATTATTTTATAATTATTTTTGTTTTATAAAGTTTATGATGAGTTAAAATAAATAAATTTATCTTTCAAAGTGCTGCTTTTAACTTATTTCTGATCCCATTTTCATACGATTCTACTTTCAGACTATATACTTTGAATATTAAAGTAATTACAATAAGATCCATTTATACTACTACCTATTATTTAAAAAATGAATATTTAAAGGGCATTTTTGTTGTCGCATCCGTCCTTGCATGCTAAAAATCTCAGACTGGTCATTGAAATCTTACTCAATAATTGTTACCCATTGGAATTCATCTTTAGAATTTTGCGCGAACGTCTTAAGTTTCTGTTTAATAGAGACTCGAATACGAATGTGAGACAGAATGAAGAGAAGGTTACTTTTTTTTTCACTTTACCGTACATCCCGACGATTACTGAAAAGCTTAAGAACGTCATAAGGGATTTGAATATGAGACTGTCTTATAACAGCTTAAATAAGATGTGTACATTTATCAAGGCGCACAAGGATAGTCTCCCACGGTCGAATAAATGTAACGTGGTTTATAAGGTGAATTGTAATGATTGCGACGCTTCTTATGTGGGCCAAACGAGTAGGCAATTGCAAACAAGAATGAAGGAGCATCGTAATCATATTAATTGGAGTACTTTGAATCATTCTGTCATAACTGAACACAGATTAGAATGGAATCATGATTTCGATTGGAATAACGTTGAAATCTTAGATAATGAATCCTATTGTGATAAACGTTTGATTTCGGAGATAATATGCATAAATTGGCAGGCGAATGGTTTGAATTTACAGACCGATGCGGAGGGTTTACCGGACGCGTATTTAAATGTGATCGAGAGACTGTCT